CCAGACATTTTTCTTTACTCTTCTTTCCCTGTGCCCCACCCCCCCACCCCCACACACCCCCAAGAACAAAAGTCAACTCCCATGCCCATGGCTGTCCACAACTTCAGGGCCCTGGTCCTGGAAGAAAGAGCGGTCAGGTGCAGAGTGTGTGGAGAACCCAGCCTCTAGTCTGCCCCCGGGATGACTCAGAAGCTAAATATAGCGAGCGACATAAACAGAGCCAGCCACAGAGCAAACACAGGGCCCCCAGCCCCGGCCCTGGCTCTCACGCACACACCGGCTCGCCGCCGCCCCTCCCCCAGCTCTGCTCCTCCCCAGCACGTCCTGGGTGGATCTCCCACTCCTGGGACAGAAGCTGGCTCCTGGGGACCCTGCTCATCTAGGGCAAGTCTCTGGGGACCCTGCCCAGGGCTGCCCATTGAGACCTTGAGCAATCTCATTAGCCATGGTCTGGGCTCCAGAAAACCACTCACCAACAAGGACAGTCCTACCTCCCCCCCCCACCAGGGGTCAGGAAGCAGTCACCGGCTCCCTGGACAAAGGACTCAGGCTGCTGGCAGGGGTGCTGCTGGCTAAGAAGCCATGCAAACACCAGAAGAGCTCTCCAAGCACCGGGAAGCTGGGTCCAAGTGGAATCCTGAAGTCAGCTTTTATCCCACGGCTAACAGTGACCACCTGTCCACACCTCAATCATCTCACAACCCCCCACGGTGTGTTCTGCAAGCACCAGGAGTCTTCAAACCATTCACTCAAAGAGTTCGTGGAGGGAGATGTAGATTCTGGAAAAACTGTGTGTGGATTTCAAACTTTTTCTGTGTCAAAGTCAACCTTCCTTTAAAGTTTTATTTCAAAGGCAGAGTGAGAGAGATAGACAGAGACAGAGACCTTCCATCCGCAGACCCACTCCCCAAATGCCTACAACAGCCAGGGTGAGGCCAGGCGGAAGCCAGGAGCCCCAAGCTCAATCGGATCTCCCACCAAGTTCTTGGGCCATCATCTGCTGCCTCCCAAGGTGCGCATCAGCAAGAAGCTGGAAGGGGAGCAGAGCAGGGACTGGAGCCCAGGCCCTCTGACACGGGATATGGGTATCTGAAGCAGCATCCTGAGCACTGTGCCACAAACCCAAAACATCTTTTCATTCCGTTTTCTCACAAACTTCCTGAAGAAACTTTTGGTTAGAAACCAAGACTTGGAGAGGTGAAATGAGGTATTCACAAACACAGAACCTGCAAAGTGACAGAGCTGGGATTTTAACCCAGATCCATCTCCTTCCTGTGACATGAGAGCTGAAGATGGTTTCAACTTAGTGCATGAAAGTTTTCTCAAATTTCATTTTCCAAAACATCCAATTACTATTCAGGGAATTTCCAAATCTGATTTTTCTGAATGGAGTCACTCCTGGACCAAATGAAAAAGGAATTTCCAACATGAAGAATTCCGACACTCCAGTAGCTTTACTCCCTCAGTGGCCTCTGGTAGCTACTTTCTGAGGATTCTTGGCTTCTTAAGAGTACCGAGAAACAGCCTCACAAATTTCAAGATGAAATCCAATGAGACAGGAGGCTTTCCCCAGGGGAGGGGACACTGGTTCCTGCCCCTCCTTAGACACAAGAAACGGAAAGAAGCTGGGTCTCAGACCCTCTGGCCAGCAGCCATGAGCTCCGTTAGGAAGCAGATCTGCACCTCCATATCCCAGGCAGAAGCTGGAGGGACACGGAAACACCCCCCTCACAGAGCCCAAGTCACAGTCGGCGGGCCACTGGGGCTCCTGCTGCAGCAGGTCGGCTCACCGTGGTGCCACGAGGGGAAACCTCCACTCCTGACCCAGTCAGAGGAAGGTGGGCCAGGTGGCGGGGTTTGGAAAGGCTGCCACCCCACTCTCCCTGCCTCCACTTCTCTTGTTGTCCTGGTGACCCCAAGACCAACAGCCGGCAACCACACCGACTCATCTTCTGCCTCAGCTTCTTGCCTGTGGGTATGTGGAGCCAGCCTGTATGGATCACCTGGGCAACCAGGCTGGCCGGACCCTCCAGCCTCTGGGCTCCTCGGAATATATGCAAAGAGGTACCTGACCCACAGAAGCCAACACCAAGGGGAACTCTTGGAAGCCATTGCCCCAGGGGTCAGTTGCTGCCCTCTGCCATCTCTCCCATTATCATGCCCCCTCTCTCTGTACTACATTTTCAATGGAGAAGCTTTCTCCAGGTGCAGAGAAAAGGCGATGGAGATCCCTGACCAGGGACAAAGTGGCGAGTTCCCACCCCCTGGTGGGCCACGGCCCAAAGACCACTGTTCTGGCCCAGGACACCATTCCAGGTCTTGGGGGAGAGAAGGCGGCCAGGCCTGCTTGACCTCCTCCTGCCTCCTGGGTTGCCTCTCTCAGCTCCCTCCCTGCAGCCCACAATGACTGTCGCTCCTTGAGGAGAAATGGGCAAGGCCAGGGTCCATGACTGAGGAGTCCTCTGGCCGGGGCGAGGGCGGGGAGGAGGTGGAGTTCAGGGACAGCTCTGCCCAGGGATCAGACCAACAGGCAGGGCAGGAAGTGACTGTGAATCCATAGGAGCAGACGTGGGCAATGCCTAGGACAGTAATACGTGGGAGGGGACAGCGTGGAAGAATGTCCACTGTGTGCCCGCACCTCTCATGGGTGTTTGCACCCTTCAAGGTCCCTGCTAAGACTCTGAGATGTTAGCTCTCATTTACAGAACAAGAAACAGGCTCAGGGAGGCCAACCGACTTCCGGTCCTCAACCATGGGCCTTCCAACTTGGAAGTGAAGCCTCGGGGCTTAACCCCAACTGCTTCCTCCCCAGTGCCTCAGTTTCTCTGCCCACAATGATGATGGAAGGGAACAGGAAAAGACACAGAGTAAAAATGCAGGAATGACAACGGCACTTTCTAGATACGAAACTTTAGACCATAGTTCATGTAAGGGTCAAGTTCAGAAAGCAACTCACTTCTTAAAAACCAGCTGCCGAAAGGCCCCAGACGTGCCAGTAGCTCCATCTGCCTGCGGCCTTCACCCTAGCTCTGTCCGCAAGATGCGTGAGCAGAATTAGGGGGCAGGAGTGGGTTAACAGCTAGAGTCTTTTCTAGAGAATTCTCCAGGGAGTAGACAAAAAGTCTGGTTCTTTGTCAGAGAAAATTTTGGAAAACCAGCTCCTTGGGCCAGGAAGGCCTTACTGGCCGACCTCCTGCCGCTGCAAGGCAGCCGCAGGGAGCTGGCACCAGGAACGCAAGAGCCGGCATGGGTGAGGTGCAGGGCAGAGCTGGGGTGGCTCTGGCAGAGAGGACGGTGCCTGTCAGGAACTGACCTGATGGGGAGAAATAACGCCAAGCAGAGAAGTGCAGGACAGGGGTCTCCTCCTCCCGGGACTGTGTTCCAGTCCCACACCAGGACACGGCAGGCCAAGGGAGGCCTCCCACCTGCTCCTAAGCCCCCAGGGGCTCACCAAGGACTAGGGAGGGGAACGCTCCAGGAAACAGCTGCGGAGGGAGAGAGGGAGACTATGCGGGGGAAAGCTGCATGCACAGTCCTGCCGCTGAGCCCAGGAGACTCACAGCCACTGTGGGTCCCAGGACTGCAAGCCGGGAGCTGGGCTCAGGCGCACGCAGCTGCAGGCCTGCACAACCAGGGTGGAGTGAATGGGCAGGAAAGAGGCCAAGAGACTGAAACCAAGAATCAGAGTGAGTCCACACACAAGGGCTGAAGGGGAAACTCGAAGCCAAGTTTCCACAAAACAATCAAAGGAGGGAAGAGGGACTGCAGCTTGGGCCAGAAGAGGCGGCCAGGCTGCCTTATAATGTAAGTGTAGGGCCACCCTCCCTTCCTGATCACTGAGGGACCAGCGGCCCACCAGGCGGGCGCAGTGAGGGCTAGCCCCAGGTTTCCCTCAGCGCTGCTCGGCAGCGAGCAGAACCACACAACCCCCTGGGCTTGCTCTCAGAAAATCCAAGGCCAATGCCTCTTCTCCCCCTCCTGGTGCTAGCAATGGTTTGGCTCCTAAATCAAACTTGTTACTCCCCTGTCACCTAAAATCCCCCATGCAACCTCAGGGTCTGCCTGGTGATGGTGAGTTATTTATACTCTTGATTTCCAGACACACACACACACACACAGAGTGCCCACTGGCCAGGAACACTGTCCCAGGGATGGGGAGTGCCTTCGTGTCCAGGTGGAGTGGTCCTGCCTCTGCAGTGCTTGTACCAGCAGGGATCCACCCTCAGGCTCTGATCCCTGCAGGGTAGCCTACGGAGAGCCAGCCGGGAAGGAAAGGGTTAAGTGCCTGGGGGCCGGACCCAGACAGTGCTGCAGCAGCGGCCCAGGGCAGCCTCCAGGCTGTGGCAAGGAGGGCTCCTCCAGCACGAGCCTGCCAGCCGCCGCCTTTGTTGACCGACCCTGCCACATGCTCGGCTGACACGCGATGCTCCGCCCTGGCGGGGCTGGTGCCAGGCTGCCGGCCAAGCAGCCGGCGGCGGCAGAGCGCCCGGCCAAGCGGCCGGCCGCGGCTCTGGGGAGACTCTATCGGAGGTGCACTCTCCTGAGGCCCCAGCCCCAGGATCCCAGACAGACAGTGAGTGAGGAGCGGCCTCCCCAGCTGGGAAGTGTCAGGTTTCAACCGGTTCCGCCACCTTCCCCCGCTCAGGCCCCATCCCCTGGCCGGCTCACCCCGTCCCCTTGCACCCCCAACAGCACCTGGCAAACCTCTCCTTAGGTCTGCGAGACACAGTCCCCCAGCGCTGGCCTTCAGGAGAGAGCCATCGCCTTCCCAGGGAGGGAATGGGCAGGCAACCAACTTGGAGACCAGAGACAGAGATGAGGGCAGCAGTGCTCATCTGATCAGCCTAAACTGTCCGTGGGGATGATGACAGCCGAGGCTAACACTCTGCCACCATGCCCTTGAGGCCCAGCAGAGCCAGAGCTGCCGATAGGAGGACAGAGACAGGCGCTGGCTCCTGGGCCCCTCGCGCCCTACCCGCCCCCTAGAGCCCTGTGCCTACTTGCTGTAAATGAAGCCGGTGGAACTGGTCAGCAATGCACTGAAGCTTCCGAGCAATCTGGACCTCTGCTCGATGCTGCCACTGCCCTTCAGGGGGCTGCTCCCCCAGCGCGAAGTTTGCAGGGAAACTGGCAGGGAGAGGGAGCCGGTAGCCAGCATTGCCTGCAAAGAAAAAGGACCCAGCTCTAAGCGGTCTTCTCGCCTGCCCCGCCCTCCACGCCTGCCTCTCCTGGCCAAGCCTTGGGGCTGAGGGTAAACCCCAGTATGGGAAGGGAGAGGAGCCAGTTTGCCTCCACCAGGGAGCTCTGCCAAGCTCGGACAGCCTGCTTGCCTGCTGCCCAAGTGCATAGAAGCTGATGCTGGGGGAACAGAAGGGAGCAGTCACAGCCGTCCAATGGGCTCCCCATTCACCGTCAGGGCAGTGGCAAAGGGCAGACTGGGTGAACATGTAAACCTTCTGTCCGTATTTATCAACCTACACTTGACCACAATTTATTATTCTCAGAGTAGCAGGTTGAAGCTCTTCCCTGGAACAGCACTGCAGGCAGCTCTCCAGAGTTTCCCGGGCTGAGCACAGCCAGGGACAGACAGAACTGTGAAAAATGTCTTCACTTTTTCAGCGCAGTAGAGGAGAGCTGTAGAGGAGGCTTCTGACCCTGTGGGCAGTGGCACAAACTCCTGAGACCCAAACAGATCCAAGTTTCTCTCTGGAAGCGGCCTCGGAGGTGGGGGGCGGGGGGGGTGCCGCGAGGCCGGAGCTGCACCCTTACCGCATGCTGGCCTTAGTACCACCGCTAGGGGCGCCAGCCGGCCGCCTCCCCCGCCTCGCCCTCCTCCGCGCCCGCCCGCCGGCCGGCGTCATCCAGCTTCTGAGTGCCGCCAGAACTGCTTGGCAAGAATCGCCCTACGGGGCAGTTCCCTCTGGGAATAACTGCAGCGTCTCCGCAGCCTGGCCCGTCAGACACAGCGAGATAACCTCCAAACCTCCACCCTCCCGCGTAAGCTGCTGTGCTAAGAACAGGCTGCTCTTTTGCCGGAGGAGGGCATATTTCTCCCTAAAACAAATCATTCGAGCCCACAAATGAAGGGGTCTTGTCTGACTTTGCCTTGGACACAGCCCCTCTGCTGGCACGGAGCCCAGGCAGGCCCAACCTCTTTCTCCAGTTCCCCTTCCAGGCACAGAAAGTCCCAAGTGACCACTGGGGCCACTTTCTGCCTTCAGGAACCTTCCCTCCTGGAACCAGCTGGGTTTTCCCCTTCAGTGTCAACAGCGAGTCATGGATCCCACAGATTTCTTTGGGACAAAGTAAATCCCTACCAGGACACAAAAAGGTGGGGGTGGGGGTGGGGGTGGGGAGTGGTGCAGGATGTAAAAAGAGACACCTGGATCCAAGGGATCCTTCCAGGAAGGGACAGAAAGGACAGGGCCATTTGTCCAGGTGCGGGTAGCAAAAGGCAGGGACTTTAGCATCCAGCAGCACTCAGCAGCCCCTGCTGCTCAGTGGGACTTAGGGGAAGGAAATCACAAAGGCAGGCTTGGGCAGGGAAAGTCCCCTCTTTTCCCCCAACCTCTATAGGAGGAGTCCTGAGGCTAAGAGCACTTACCATAAAAGAGTCGCTGGGGTTCCTCGGTCACCCCACAAGGCAGCATGACCCCTTGGCTCGGGGAGGCGGGGCTGAGGGTCTGGGTGGCCTTGTCTTCCTGGCTGGTGGGTCGCAGCCCAGGACCACAGCAGTGGGTGAGAGGGAAGAGGTGCAGCCGCCCCAGGGGGCAGTCCAGCTGGCTCTGGGCAAACGGGTCAGCAGAGAGCAAGCTTTGGGGCTGGGTCCCCGGCTCCCCGTCCTCTGGCTGGAACACGTCATCCTCCAGCTCCTCCACACACTGAGGTGGCTCCATGTCCCCTGTGAGGGCAACGCAGGCATCTGGGCGGCTGCCCGTGCCGAGCCATACCTGCAAGGACTCCCCTCCTTCTTGGCTTGCTTCACTACTTCCCCTTCTCATTCATTTGCACGGGGCCAGGTACGGTGGACATACTACTCCCCTTCCAAAGCACTGCGGGGAGGGGGGGACCCACCCCCAAAATGTGACCTGCCTGTGTGCTGAGCCCATCCACACCTCTGTGGAGGACAGCCCAGGCCACCTCTCCCCAACCTCTCGTGACTCAGGCTGAGGGGTAGTCGCATCAGCTATACAAGCATGCTGGCACCTGGGAAAATGTAAACAGGACGGCTGTGGGTGGGCTCGGGGGACTGGCCGTACACACAACCTCACAACACATGCGTATCCCCTAAGGGGCACTCTCCAAATTCTCAGCCTGAGTCTGAGCTGAGCTCCCGGCTCAGCAGCAAAAACAAAAGCCAACCATCCCGGGGCAGCCAGGTTCCCTCCAAACCTGCTAAGCCCCGCCCTGCTGCCCATCTCCTCTAGTCTCCACCCCCTGCTTGCACAACACAACAAACAGGCTCTGCGGTGTGGTGAGAGTGTGTCCTGGGAGAAGGGATAAAGCCCCAAGTTAGTCATTGCAGCTGCCCCTCTGCTCCGCTCTCCTCCCGCACAGCAGAGCTGTCTGCTCAGCACAGGTTGCCTGCCAGGCGGGGCCGGCCCCTGGCAAAGTGTCAGCCGGCCCCAGCGCAGTCTACTCACTACTCCCTGGGACGTCAACTCCTCGGCCCCACAGCCTCCCATGCCTGCCAGCGCTGAACCTGAGAGCGGTGCGACCTGCCTCACAGAAGGAAGTGAAATTCAGCCCTCTGGCTGTGACCTCACTTGCTGCCTGTACTATTGAGGCTGTTGTTGTGAGTGTCTTGGTGATAAAGAAGTTCCTCTTGCTCCACCTGATGGCTCTAGCGTGCCTTAGCCAAGAGGCCACCCAGCATCTTGCTTCCAGTCCAGCCCCCTAAACACACACCAGGAACCCCTTGGGACCCCTGGGACAGCGCGAAGCAACTAGCACCTGGAAGCTTAAGGAAACAGAAAGATAAAGTTCCTTCCCTGAGACTCAGTTAGAGATCCCATGGCGTTCTGTCGCCCAGTCTGCCTTTGAAGAGCAAGCCAACTGGTCTGTGGGTTGGGGAAGGACTTAAAGGAATCTCTGTTAAATTCAGAAATCCTGCCTTTCCTAAATACCAGGTCTCTCTGAGATGCTCATTTCTGCCCTCACCCCCCAATGCGGTGCCTGAGCCGTCTCTGGTCCTGTCTCTGCCCTCTTCCCTGGAGTGAGGAGATGCCTGCTAGGGTGGCAAAACAGACACATGGCATTCTTGGGACAGGGCTGGTGGGGGTAGGGGTGGGGGCTCTGACTTATCAGCAACAGGGACTGAAAGAGGACCAAGTGTTGTCACCTGGCAGGGACGCCCCCTCCTGCCTTTCAACCTCCTCTCGGCAGGCTGGCCATCCCAACCTAAGAAGGCGCCTTCCAGAGCCAATCACAAGCAGGAGTCATTGTCTGGGTTTTTCCTTTGAAGCCTCTCACCTCCCCCTCCTCCTCCCAGCAAAGCCCCAAAGTTCAACCCCAGCCTGGACTGGACAGTGGGGGAAGGGCAGCCAGAGGGCGTGGTTCCGCGAGCCCCGGGACCCTCCCACCCTCCCCCAGGAACTGCAGGTGGCTCTCCTGTCCTGTCCGTCTGTGGCAGCCCCCAGAGGGGTGCTGGACAAGGTCAAGTGTAAGCTGCCAACGGGTAGAGGGACCTTCTCCTCCCTCCAGACCCTTAGGAGGAAGGCACTTCCTGCGAAGACTGCCAGGGAAATGCTTTATTCCTAGCGAGGAGAACCCAACACGCACGGGCCATCCCAGCCCCTAAAGGGCTCCACCGGGGATGCTGACTTAGGCTCCTCCTCCTCTTAGGAGAAGGCGGCAGCCAGACACCGACCGACGGTGGCTAAAACCTCAGAACACACACACTCACACTCACGCCCCAGACCTGGGTGACTCCAGGAGAGGGTCTCAGCCTCCGAGTCGTGATGCCAGGGCTCTGCGCCAGGGTCCAGCGTGACGAGCGCTCGGGGGCTCGGCGCCCGGACTCGATTGAGAAGGAGGGAAACAGCCCAGCTGTTAAGGAGAGGAGCCTTCAGACTTCGCAGGGAGGCAGGACCGCCCCCGACGCCCTGCCTTACCCCAAAATCGGACCCCGAGGCCGCGCCGTTCTCGGGCGCCCAGATCTGCTCCGCAGCGCGCCCCGGGTTCCCCTGCCCACCTAGACTCAATTCCTTCGAGTCCCAAATGCTATTCCCAAGTTTCCTCCCGGAGTAGGGCACACCGATGTGGGTTCTGCACCCCGTTCTGACACCCCAGCAGCCCAGGTCTTCTTGGTCACCCAGATGCCCGCAGCCCAAACCCCTCCCGGGCCCCCACGCGCAGCACGACTCCGCTCCCCACTTCCCCGAGGAGGTGCGATCCAACTCCGCCCGGCCCCCGGCCGCCCGGGCGCTCACCGGGCTGCGGCGGGAAGCGGGAGGCGCGGGCAGGGGCGGCGGCGGCAGCGGGCGCGGGAGGAGGCCACTCCGCACGGTGCGGTATTGTTTCCAAAATACGCCCGCTCAGGGCATCCCGCAAACAGCTGATGAGGCCCCGCCTCCCGGCGCGTCACGCCGCCGGCTGGCCAATGGTGAGTGCAGCCCCAAGTCCCGGGCTGGGAGGCTGCCAGGGACGGTCACGAATGTACGAACCCTCCCTTGGAAACATTGCAAGGGGCCAAGCAAAATTCTGACCTCCGCCAGAAGCGCAGTCGGAGCAACGTCGCACGGCTGGGATTCAGCTCCTAGCGCAGGCTCCGGAAGCGCCAGAGAGTCCCTGAGCTCTCTGCTGGCTGGGAGCGAGGGGGCGCCAGAGTGACTTTTGTCTACTTTCTCGGGAATGGGTTGAATAATTGCCTGGCGTTCAGAGGAGGAGGAGAGGAGGCGGCGGGGAGCTTTTCGACGCGGCTGACTGCGCCCGGTGGAGGCAAGGTGCGGGTGCCAGTGGATCACAGCGTAGTGACAGCAAGCGCCCCTTCGCCTGCCGGGCGGGTCAGAAGAAAACCCCGGTCCCGCAGCTGGAGGACAACGCATGTCTCTGGCGTTGTTACTGAGTGACATCCCGATCAAACCCGTCCAAGGGGCCCTCCTGTCCTCTTCTTGCCTGGATATGAACAAAGGCAGAATAAGCGTCTGGCTGAGAAGAGGAGAGATGGAAAACGCAGGGGCTGCTGGAGCATTTGACACACAGCCGGAGACCCTGCTGGAGCTGCCAGGAGAGAGCACCGCACCCTGCAGAGGGCACACCCTGGGCCCCTTCACAAACATTGAGTGCCTGCTTAGTTCCAGGCCTTGGGCTAATTGCTGAAAACCTGGTGCTTGCCCTCGGGGGAGCTTACAGTCCACCTGGAGAGGCAGCGCTGAAAATAACTAACGGAGAGTGTGGTGGTAACTGCTGAAGGATCCACAAACGCTCAGGATGCCGCGACTGAGGAAGGCTTCAGGGAGATGGCCTTTTGAGTGGGGCCTGGAAGAGGAGGGGAAACTTTTTGTTAGAAAAACCAGAAGCAGCAGCATGGGGCTCCGGGCGGCACAACCAAGTGCTAAACTGGAGAGTTTGTCCTGGGAGCAAGGGCAGGCTGGAGCACCAGATCGTTGGGAGCACCCTGGGAGTTGGGAAAGGTGGGCATGGGCAGGTGGGTGCAGGTGTCCCTGCAATGCTAGGCTGAGGGATCTGTGTTTTGCCAAAGATTTTTTTATTAGACGATGAGTGCCTTGCCCAAGCCTGAATTGTAGGGAGGATAAAGGAAGAGTTCAGAACTCAGTGAGGGTGCCTGCGTCGCGGCACAGTGGATGAAGTCACTCCCTGCCACGGAGGCATCCTAGCCGAGCACAGGTTGGAATCACCCTGCTCTGCTTCTGATCCAGCTCGCAGCTGATGCGCCTGGGAAAGCAGCGGAGGATGGCCCGAGTGCTTGGGCCCCTGCACCCTCTTTGGAGACCTGGATGGAGTTCCAGGCTCCTGGCTTGGGCCCGGCCATTCGGGTAGTAAACCAGCAGTTGGAAGATCTCTCTCCCTCTTCCTCTTCCTCTCCCTCTCGCTATCCTTCTACCTCTTCTCTGTAACTCTTTCAAATATACAAATAAATATTTAAGAAAACGACTCAATGAGAAGGAGCCAGTCCCTGCCACAGCCTAGGTGAGTGATGATGAGGCCTGACCACTAGAGGCAGTGGAGCTGGGCAGTGCACTGTCCCTCACCCACACCCCCAAGCTGCTCTCTCTGGGTTGTAAATTCAGATTAGAGTTGAGCTGGGGTCCTTCAGGGGTCGAGGAGGTCAGGAACCTCACCCCCACCTCTCCTCACTGTCAAAGCAGACCCTGCCTGTCGCTCCCCCTCTTCGTGGAGGAACGACACAGGACCCTGCGCTGTTCTTTCGTCTGCTCGGCCCTCCCCGGGTTTGCTGCTGGTTCTTCCCGGGTTGGCTACTATCCCTTCCACCTCCGTGGAAGGGCAGTTCCCCCTGGCCGCATTCCCCACTTCCGCAGGGGAGCGGCACACCGCCGGCCGGCTTTCTTCGGGGGCTGCACGGGTTCCCTTAGATGTTCCCCATAGATGTTCCTGGTGCATGCCGTTTCTCTCCTCCTTTATAGTCCTTCTCTGCCAATCCCAACTCGGCTGCCCACACGCCGAGTACGCTGCTCTCCAATCAGGAGCAAGTCCTACAGTTAATTGGTTGAACTGGAGGCAGCTGTGCGGAAGCTGTTTACTTCTCTCCCAGCGCCATATTGTGGGAGAGCAGATGCATAGAATAAGTCCTAATTCGAGTAACTTAGTCTAGTCCGGATTGCTCCCCACACCTGCCCTCTCTGCTTTTTCCCTCAGCACAGCCCAACCCAGCAGTGTCAGGACATGCCGGCCTGAGGGCTGGGCTCTGAGCCCCCAGAGGATCAGTAGCACCCTGGGGATAGCTGAATCCTTGGCTCAACACAGATGCATGTGGTAGCCGCAGCAACCTCAGTTTTGGAGAATTGTCTCCCCCTTGTTTTCTCCGATGCAGGCTCTGGAAGGAGGGTCCCCAGCCAAAGGCAAAGTTGCTCTAATGGGCATGGGAGTGAAGATGGATCTTGATCTTCCCCAGCATCAGGGAAGGGTGCCAAGAGTTAAGGGGAGACCAAAGCAAAAACCCACTCCCTACAGACAAGTGGCAGGAGCTGCTCCATTGTTTCACCTGGCTATAGGATTTCTGGCTGAGACAAGGAGTGGGCTCTGAAACTCCAGTAACTGGATCACCGGGAAGGGAGGTTTTTAAAAAACCAGCTGACAGCAGAATAATAGAAATTATCAGGCAGGCTGCCCCAGGGTGACTGGGGTTTGTAACTCAACCCCCAGGGAGGGGTAAGCTTGGAAACTGATTTATGGGGAACTTGGGGGTCTGGATGAGGTAGGAGGTCTATGTAGCTTAACCCCTTGCCTATGAGCCCCTCCGAGAGGGATCGTGGATGGCAGAGATGCCTGCAGGCCCTCTCCTCGCAGGGCTAGCCCTAGCCCTGTGAATTTCTCTCTGCATGTATCAATCCATCTGTCTGCAAAAAACAGTTCTTCTCCTCTGAGTTGCACAGTGTATGCATCTGTGTGAAAGAGACAGGGAAGACTATACCAGAACTGCTAATTGGGCGAGTTGAGAGACTTGATTTCCCAGTTAATTGTTGCTTGCCAATCATTGAATCAGTGGGATTCAGAGCACTCTTAGGTATTAAAGAGACAAGATCTAGAAATGTAAAGACTTGGGGTTGGCACCGTGCCTTACTAGGCTAATCCTCTGCCTGCAGCACCGGCACCCCGGGTTCTAGTCCCGGTCAGGGTGCCGGATTCTGTCCTGGTTGCTCCTCTTCCAGGCCAGCTCTCTGCTGTGGCCCAGGAGTGCAGTGGAGGATGGCTCAGGTCCTTGGGCCCTGCAACCACATGGGAGACCAGGAGGAAACACCTGGCTCCTGGCTTCGGATCAGCGCAGCGCACCGGCCGCAACACGCTGGACGTGGTGGCCATTTGGGGGGTGAACGAACGGAAGGAAGACCTTTCTCTCTGTCTCTCTTTCACTGTCTAACTATGCCTGTCAAAAAATAAATAAAAAAATAAAGACTTGGATGTAAGTCCACCATGCACAAGCCCCAGAGAACCTGAAGGACTAAGTGGAGAAATCTAGGATCCCACGAATGACGACACGGCATGTGTTCAGCTTTGCTTTGGGGCCCACTCAGTAACATTTGTGGAGTGAATGAGCATATATTTCCTCATTTAAAGTGACAGAGTTCCGCGTTATGAAATGAGAAGCAGGCTGCTGGAGGGGGTTTCCAACAACTGTCCTGACTCCATTGTGTTGGCCACTTGGGACCCCTGGCCTTCCCCGAGGTTCTTCCCACCTGCAGAGAGAACTCTAGGAAGGCAAGAGCAATGGTTGGTACCCTCAGACCACTGTCCCCTGGGCTGGGCACATGACATTACTCACTACGTCTGTAGAGACAGATAAATGTACAGAGAACCTGCAAACCAGGCCCTCAGGGCCGTGTCCTCTGCACCCACTTTGTCCACTGGCTGCCCAGCCCAAGGAAAAGAAGTTGGCCTTAGCCTGCGAAGGAATGAAGAAATGCAATCACAGGACACTTCCTCTCACTCTACTTCCTCCACTCTGGCAGCCTCTTTCCTGGGCAAAGGTACATGACTTTGTCAGCACACACTTCTCTTTAGGATTGGCAGGGAGACCTCAGACATTTCCAGCCCAGGCCAGACAACAATTGATTGCTCAAGGAAAACTGCCACCTGGAAGAGCTGGGGACCTGTCCCTTCTTGGCTCCTGGGCTCCTGGGTGTTGAACCTGGTACTCAGGAGGATCTAGGCTGAGAAGTTGAGATAGATCAGCAGTTTCCCAGCCAACCCTGAAGCCACCACTGTCCTGGAGTGGAAGAGGGTCTCTCTCCGGCAATGAGGTGGAGCCCCGTCACTCAGGTGGGAGTTTACAGGGCACCTGCCACCTGCCGTGTGTTAGGCTCCATGCCAGGGGCACAATCCCTGGGGGGTATCCCTGAGCCTATTAGCATCCTTTCTTCACGAACATGAACTCGCACACATATACCTACGCACCAGCTCAGACAGACACTAAGCACAGCAGGAAGACCTGGCAGGAGGAGCTGGAACTAAGCATCTAGACCCAACACGATCCACCTTTCCAGGGAGGCAGAGCCTCCTCTGGGATGGTTTTGCCTTTCTTTGCACAGACGCATCTGGAAATGTCTCAGGCTCCACTCCCTGCTCTCAGAGCTCGCCTGCCATCAAGTACAGCAGACACACTCTAGGCTATGCATTAGGAGACCTGGGTTCAGCTCCCAGCTCTGCCACCAATAGGTGACCTTCCAGCACTCACATTTGCACCCTTGCGCCTGTGAACCCAGAGCTGGCACAACTCAGTACACAGTCTGGCTCAGCAGGGGTTAGGGATGGGGGTGAAACTAGCCTCCAATTCCAACCCTGCCCAGGCTCCTGGGCTATCAGCTAAACAACTCCCACCTGCTGAGCACTTACTAAGTGCCCCACAGTGTTACAAAAGCATCTCACTCAATCCCTACA